TTATTGCTGACATCTTAGGCAACAAAGAAGTGTGCGTTTACGCTTTATTATAATAGTATAGATTAAAAAATACAGCCTATATTACTTACTAATAACGTACCTTTTTATGGTGAAAAATTTTTTGAAGTCGCCCCAGTAGTTTTTTAGTTATTTCAGTATATACAACTCTTTCCTCTTTATAATATTAGTGAAATGAAATAAATTTTTATTTCTTATACTTTTTAAAATAACGAAGATTTATGAACTTAACTAGAAAATCATTAAGCTTTACGCGTACGGCTAAAGTACTTGCGATAGCTATGTACGGTGGCTCAACAAATTCTACGAAACTCAACGAGCATAAAATTACTGTAATTTGTCTTGTTATTTTTTTGTCATGACATCGTAATATTTGCGTGGTCGTTAAAGTAAAATTAGCATGACATGACGTCATTAATCTGAGCTCAGGGGATGCGAAAGGGCAAACATGTAGGCCGTGGGCGGAATACCTAACATCAACCTGCAATAGTTCATCAAAGGGATCTTAGATGTTTCATTTTCACTGTATTTTATGCTACACTGGTACTTTGCACCGAACGTTGATTAATGCGCACACCTTTGACTAAACTGTCGCACAACTGTTTAGTCTCGCTCCTATTCCTATGAGCTGCGAAACAATCGACAATTGCACAACAGTGCTTTAAACAAAGGTGTGCCCTTCGAAGCCAAAAAATCTCACTTCTTAGTAATATTATAAATGCGAAAGTTTAGATGGATGGATGGATGTTTGTTAGCGTTTGTAGCCTAAACGGCTGAACGGATCTCAATGAAATTTGGCACATTTTTAGAGCATAGTCTGGAAGAACACATAGGCTACTTTTTATCCCGGGAATAGTTACTCAGTTTGTTTTAATGTTTACTCGATTATTCTGCAACGGTTCAACATATCTTATTGAAATTTGGCACAAAACAATTTCTGGAGTACACATTTCATAAGCTCATCCCCAAGAAATGTCCGGTGCCCGAGGGGTACATAGCTTTTTGTAACTTATATAGTTAGTATGTTTTCTAATATCACGCGTACGAAGTCGCGGGCAACAGCTCGTGATATATAATTTCAAACTGTCATGGTTTTTACAAATATAATGTTCGTAAGATACGGGTTTCTTACCACGATTGGATTGTTTTAGCTCCCGATCAGTCAGCCCGTGAACACGGCGCATGCAAATGTGCCGAAATATCCAATCGTGGTAAGAAACCCGTATCTTACGAACATTACATAATGTAAATGAAAACAGAAAAGACGACTTATACGAGTATTTCACTTTTTCAACAGGAAATACTCGTATATGCTATGTAGGATAAGGAGATTAAATATGTTTTCTTTTAATTGATTTCGAATTTTATCTTTTGACGTTGGTTTGAATTAGTTTAGAGTCAGAGAAAAAAAGAGGAACGACATTGCAACAAGATGTGTTTTTTTGTAAATGGTGTAAATATTAAGAACAGCGATAAATAACGAGTTTATTTATATTTGATCGAGCCACAACCCCACATATATAATGAATACATAAGTATAATTTACTGGAAATGTTTTAAATTAAGCAGACATCTCAAAGTGTCAAGTGCTATTGAAAGTTTTAACTTAACACTTAGAAACTTTAACTTTAAGGCGAATGTGTTTTTCTAGTGTCGTGCCTCTTGGTAGCAATAAATTAAACAATTTCTTAACTTATTCTCGCAACTTTGAAGTTAACTTGAAACTTGGGGATAATTTCTAAAGTAACACTGCTTTGTGTTATAGTAATTCAGTTTATTTTATTACTTTTTGTTAGTTATATTAAAAATTTATTAAGTGAACAATCGTAGTAAAAACATTTTCTTAATTTGTTTTTAATAAATGCTACGGGTTTTTTAAACGAACTATAATTTGTGAAGTGGCCAGAAATCTTAGGAAAATTAACAGAAATGTTCATTTATCTTAATTTTCATATTGATGTTCTTATTTACCACACATTAGTGAAGGTATTTTTAAATTTTAAAATATGACACTTTCGTTTCTTTAAAAAAAATCGAACTAGGATAAACATACGTTAGAGTAATAGGTCAGTTCCAGCCATTGTCAAAGATGTTGCGTTGCTAATAAAGCTAGTGATGTCACGTTCCGTATATCGATATTTTAAACGAATTAATAATTTATTAAGTTAAGTTAAGTTAATTAAGTCACAAATATTTCGTAATTGAGAGATGCTAAAAATTGTTTAACGATTATGTGTTTTTTACAGTACATCTGACCTCTAGAACTTCACCTGTCCACATCTTACACAGAATTGAAAAATGTAAAATAGACATAAAACCAAATTGAATAGTTAATAGTAGCTGTCCCTTCCCCTACACTTACTGAGATTATCGGTTGGCAATGCCCACTAAACTCAATCTACATATAACTACTAATGTTATAAAGAGGAAAGATTTGTGTTTTTGTACTTATTGTTAAATTGAAATCATTCAAAAACTACTAGACCGATTTCAATAATTCTTTCACCGTTAATAACCTACGTTATCGCTGAGTAACATAGGCTTTATTTTTTTACTATTTTTAAGTTTTACGTGTATGAAGTCGCGAGCAACAGCTAGTAACATATAAATATATATCGATAGTTGATCGCACATCCCTAATGTAATCATTGTTAATCCAGGCCAATCCAATATAGCTAGTAGGAAAAATCCTTCGCATCGTCAAGTCGTGAAATGTCCAAGTGTCCATTAAATATAATTTAAGATAAATAATATACTTTAAGATCTATGTTGTATGTTGCAGTGCTAGTGATATGTACAGTCCAGTGTCTTCAGTTGGACAGTCAGGCTTCGACGAGGCGGCCGAGAGTTACCAAATACACCAAGACTACTCTAACACCTGGTGCTTCTACGGTAAGTAACACATTCTTTTTATAACATAATGTGGCAAACGAGCAAGCGGCCACCTGAATCCGCCAAAATGGCGAGGCGACCACTGCCCATAGACATCCGCAATTGTAGATGCCTAGATGCCTAGATAGTTGCCTACCCTTATCCGACGGAGGAGACGCACATAAGGGGATATTTCCCCTTCCTATGCATCTCCTCCACCGTCAAATCCATTTTCCGTTCCCATCCTCTCCTTTAAGAAAAGGGTGGTAAAGAGAAAGGGACTTAAATAAGGCCATTTGAAGAGCCTAAAGGTGTGGTTACTTAGATCCAATCTTTATTGATCACTGACGATATTCTGTACAATCTACCAATTACATACTTCTTGTAATCATAAATGAAGCACTCATCTTCCCTGCCATATCCTACTCCCGTAGTGTCGGCGCATCGGGTTTTCGTCCTCCAAATAAATATCATCCGTCATCTCAGTCATCACTCCCTTCTTGATCATGTCTCTCCTTTAACGCAATCCATCCATCTCTTTCTAGGTCTACCTCTATCGGTGTACCTCCACATTCATAACTAACGTCCTTCTTGTTACATGCGATTCATCCCTTCTCATAACATGCCCATACCACGCAAACCTTTTACTGCTTATTTTCTCAACCACTGGGGCTACTCTCTAACTTCCTAAAACTCTATGCTCTATATTCAATTATGCAGCGTTTATTTATTCTACGTATTTTGTTCTTTTAACAAAATTGTAATCTTTCTGAATAAATCATAATTCTTCATCTGTTGCGGCGGCGGGCCTAAATGCGCCCATAATGATACTACCGTTAGTGCGTGGCAGCTCTTTCTAGACCTTTCTAGCTAGGATAGGTTCAATTACTATGTTTATGGAAACATAATATATACATTTTATGTAATGTAATGCACACCTGAGTCTTGAGCACATGCTAGGCCATTTTTTTTTAAATTAAAGTTTGTCAAGATTCTATATGGCATTGGAAGTGTTAACTATATCTGTAGATCTAATGTAATTCTTATGAATAGAGTTGAAATTATGACAGAGATTTATAAAGATTCCTTGAACTAATTTAACCAACAAAGGGTAGTTTCAGCCCCTGTTTGTAAATCGTTAAACTTTGTAGACAACAAAGGTTTATCGATCCCTTTGATTGCCTTCAATTCGTGTTACATTTTAACGTAGACGGTACTATTATTAACGTATAGCTAATATTAAGTCAAATCGATGGATCTTAAGTCAAGGCTTCTAACTTTGTACTTAAATAAAACTTGGTTCGTTTTAGGTGTAAGTTTGATCTAAATTTTTATGGACTCATTTAAACTTTGCCTTTATAGTACTTAACATGTTGGAAATATTATAATTTCAACTTAGAGTTATGCTCGCCTGTACTACCAATGCTCAATATGTATCTTTTTTTTGTGATTATTTTCCTTGTGTACAAAGTGTAAATAAATAAATAAATAAATAAATTAAATTAAGTAACTCTATTTTAATATTATAAAGAGGAAAGATTTGTATTTTTGTATGTATTGGGATAACTCAAAAACTAATGGGGCAATTAAAAAAATTCTTTTTCTGTAAGAAAAGTAATTTATCTGTAAGTAGCATAGGCTATATTTCTTGAATGACTTCCCAAAAGAAGGAGATACTCAATTCGTCTGTATGTTTTTTTTTCTTATTTTTTTTATGTGTGTTACGGCATAACTCCGCCGCTAGTGGACCGATTTTGGTAATTCTGTTTTTATCCGAAAGTAATGCAGGTGGGACCCATTTTTTTGTTTGATTTTTGGAGTCTAAGACAACGACGTAGTTAAATAGTTTTGTATTATCATTTAATTTAACGCGGGCGAAGTCGCGTGCAACAGCCAGTATTTGATATTTGATACAATTAATTTTAAGTAGAAATATAATTTGTATTTTAGTAAAAAGAGGATTTATATTATTTTTTATTTATTTATTATAGGGTATTTTAGTAAAAAACTTTCATTATTATAAGCATAAGTTATTAACAAGATTTTATCAGATCTTCAATTTCGAAGTGAATAGGGCGCCATCTAGTTTTAAACGTTTTAAACTCTTTAACCTGTCTTTTCTAGGAGTTGGCGACAGAGCGCAGTCTACTGACGGCGACCTACCGTCTTCTAGGAGGCGGGGGAGAGACCTGCATCCTGCTTACCGTGGACGCCCTCCTTGATATCTCTTATCTGACGAAACTCAACGAACGTGCTGTGAGTGTTACCGTAAATACTGTTTCCTCAAAGATCATTAGGTGGCACCGAGCAAGTGGCCACCTGAATCCGCCAAAATGGCGAAGCGACCGCTGCCCATAGACATCCGTAAAAGCGGACGCGTTGCTTACCCTTAATCGAAGAAGGAGACGCACACAAAGAGGATCTTTCACCTTCTATCCGTCCCCTTCCCGTCTTTTTCTTATAAGAAAAAGAGTGGGAAAGAATGGGATTAAGTCGGGCCTTCTTCAAAGATGAAAGTTCAATATCTCCAAAGCCTAATTTTCAGTAGCATATAATGTTTATGGATGTAAACGGAAGAAGTAAGGATGGGAAAAATATCTCTGTTCTTATCTTATATCCGTGATCTCTGGTTTAGGTCTATTTACATAAAATAACGAAGAAGATTGTTGGCTACAAAGGTAGAATACCGAAGAAAGAATGTATGGATTGTGTGAAAGAGGTGCTTAAGAAGGGGGTGAATTCAGATATGATGGCTGATAGAGATGTATGGAAGAGCAGCACTGTGCCGACTCTCCATAGGGACAAGGGAGAGTTGATGAACAAGATTTATCAATTTAATGAGAAGTTTTACTTCTAGAGTTAATTTTAATCTTTTTTAATTCCAGGATGCCAATACCTTCGTGCCTAACAACGCGAATGTTGCTGGAGTGTGCAAGGAAGGTGACGCTGAGACCCTGGTGCTGTCTTTCAAAGAATTCGCCTTGGAATGGTCTTTCGCAAAGGTATAAAAAGTTTTATATTATATTATTGTATTTATCCCTCTACATTTTCGAAAGCGAGCCTTCTGCCTATAGACAATCATTTCATACTATTACATTATCCAGTAAGAAATGAAGTTGACCTCTCCTTACAGGAGTACCCGTAACAGGTTTTTGTTCTTCAAATAACTAACATACGTCATCTTAGCCATCACCCCCTTCTATCATGACACTTTTCACGCAATATTTCCATCTCTTTCTACGTCTACCTCCATTAGTGTAGACATACCAACGCCCTTCTTTATATAGTGTGTTTAAATAATTTAGATTAGTTTGATAAATGACGCATATGAAGTACCGAATTCAGTTTATATGAAGTGAAATGCCATACTTAATAGACAGGTATCGTAGTGACGAAACAAACACACGTAGGGAATAATTTTGAACTATCGATTTTTGGTTTAAATAATTAACAAACTAAATTAAAATTATTATTTTCTTATTATCTAATTTAGAGGACAATTCTAGTATTGATTATAGTGTAAAGAATTTAGCGATGACAGAAATAATAGCGAAATGTAAGTTATTACTCTAAATCTTTCGATTCCAACTTCTATAAGAATAAAAATCGATAAGATTCATGACTGATTTTACACAACCCATCCCTATTAAATTTGAAATGAATTGTCAAACTAATGTAAATTATTTAGACAAGCTATAGATTGTTTTACGCAATTACTCTGGCCACGGTCTCCCGTCAGAATGGCTATTCCAATACGTCTGAATGACATTGACAGCTGTCATAGAGACGTGACGTCTATACCAGTTCTAGTGTTGTCCGTTTTTCTTTTTAATGATAGAAACTAATCGATCAATAACTCCCAGACTCCAGGTGGTGAGCGTTGGTATTCAGATAATCTGAAGCTGACGTACAACTCCAGTTCTCGTATACTGGAGCACGCGGCGCAGCAAGGCCGGCGAGTGACGCTGACCGCGGGCCCGCGCGCCTTGCTGTTCCCTACTCCAGTTGGCAAATCGTACTACTGCCCTGAAGAAACTATTATAGAACTCACGGAAGGTGATGCCAAGTAAGGGTTTTTTATCTATACTTCTATACTATTATAATAAAGCGTAAACACACACTTCTTTGTTACCTAACATGTCAGCACTCACAGCATATTTTTAAATAATTCTTTTTTTAATAAAATGACCTACACTTACGTCATGCTTTAGGCTATATATTTTCACGCTATTAAACTTAGGGGGTAAATATTTTGGATAAAAACCCCAATGTGGGAAAGAGACCATAAGTTGCTGCCAACATCAAGGAAGCAAGGATGTCATTTTGACATTTGTAATTGATAATTTAACAAATGTAAACGATAAAATAAAATTTTCATAAATCTATGCGGATGAAGTCGCATAGGAACAGCTAGTGTTTGGATAATCGGGTATTTTGCTTGAAAATGTGATCTTAAATATATACCAGCTGTTGCTCGTGACACTCAGTGTTAACGTAGCTTTTTAAGGGTGAAAGAATTTTTGAAATCGCCCCATAAGTTTTTGAGTTATTTCAGTACATACAAAAATACAAATCTTTTCTCTTTATAATATTTGAATATAAGATTAAATTTTTTTTTTCTCTTAAGTTGAAATATCGACCGAAATCTAACCTATAGCAGGGGTGGTCAACTTGGTTAGACCCAAGATCTGGTCACTGATGATCCTATGCGATCAATTATATAAATAACTATTTGAAATTTTACATGAAACAGTATACTTGAGTAGTTTACGTATTAATTACTTTTACCACAAATTATTGAACTAATAGTCGCGAACGATCGGTTGGTGACCCCTGCTTTATAACTTGCAAAAACTTCTTTACCTCTGATAATGTTAACCAACTATAATAATTTGGTACGAAAGTACAGTATTCTACTAAAAACTAATAATGCAATTCTTTGACAGCTCCAAAGTAGCTCATCGTGCGAAACTCTACTTACGTCAGATGCGTCTGCAAGCGTTCATGTTCAAACGTGATGGGGAATTCGGTCCTCCTTGGCATTGTACCGACTCCGCGCGTACCAGGTCTGAGGCCGTACCGGTAGCTGTTGGGTCCGCTTTAGCTATTGCCACCGCTGGTACACTCGTCGGGTACGCTATCTGGCGTTACTTAAAAGTCAAAAAGGTTCAATATGATACAATGGAGTAAAAAAAAGTTTGTTTTTTGACATGTGTAACTTCTGAACTGGCTCAAAAGATCAGATCAACGATGTGACTCAACTCATATCGAACGTCGGTATTTGAGCTGATCTGTGAGCCAGTTCACTGATCTGCTTCACCTATAAGAACCGTGAGCTGATCTGCAGATCATAAATTTTAGTTGAGTTATACATGTCTATAGTTTTGGATAAAGGTATTTTCATTTTTTAAAATTCTTGTTTCTTTTTCTTTATTGGTTTTATTTGACGCTTAATTTGATTTCAAATTAGAAAATTTTGAGGTTATAATTTTTAATTATGGCGCCAAAATTTTATTAATTTACAAGATTCCTTAATGAATTTAGATACAATAGATAAATGTTTTTTTCATATTATTGTTTCGTTTTTTTAAAGCTTTTGCTTTGTTTTCGTTATGTTTAATTTTGTTTTGTTTACCTTTTGTTATTTTTTTTTTTAGAATAATGGGGCAAACGAGCAGCGGAATAATGTAAATCATTCAGATAAAATTTTTCTTTTTTTTTTTGAGATGAGAACAGGTAAAGTAATTATTATAAATTAATGTTTTTGTACGTATAAAATAATTATTTAGTTTTAAAATTGTATTAAGTGACTTTTTAATACATTTTGATATTTTAAAATATTTTTACTATTTCGAACAAGATTCCAATTTCGAATATTTTTGTGAGTTTATTTTACCCGTTTTTTGATAAATTTGTTTTTTATTTACAACAAAAGTGACTTTATAGCATACAGCCTTTTTCGTGCATAAAAAACTTGGCCTTTGTCTATTGACAGTTTTTGGCGGGAAAGTCACATTATCCTGATATTATTTTATATTTTAATATTATGAATGATATTGAATGTTTCTGTATAGACTAGAATTACTTTAAATTAATTTATTTGATAATTAAATGATATAATTACGTATTTTAAAAATTGAAATTCTATTTCAATAGATATAAGTTGTGTGTACTGGCTGAAAAAAAAAATGTTTACTGTTGCAAATGTTTCATGGTTGAGTAGTGTTGTAAAAAAATGTATTTAATCCTATATTACCGGTATCATTTATTTTAGGTTAGGAAATAGTAGTGTCATTTGTTACGGGAGTATTATGACAGCTGTCACGGAGTCACAGATAATTAATTGCGTAGATGTTTAAGGTATTAATTATTGATATGTATTGTTAAAATCAATAAGATTTGTGTCATTTTAGCGAAAAAAACATACTTTAACATATTTGACCGACTTCCCAAAAGAAGGAGGTACTCAATTCGTCTGTATATTTTTTTAACTATAATATCTTCAAGGAAAAGTTCTAGTCAGTAGAGGACGTACAGATAAAAAACGTTACTCATATGTCCCCTTCCCGGTCTATTCCACTTCCAGCTTCCATCGTATGATTACAAGAAAATTATGGGAAGGATAGAATTAAAATATGACATCATCATCATCATCATCACCAGCTCATTATACGTCCCCATTGAAGGGCTCAGAGACTACCCTAAAGGTGACTAGGCTATAGTCAACCACGCTGCACTGCGGGTTGACTTCACACATATCTTTAAATATCTTCGCAGATATGTGCAGGCATCAGGATGTTTTCCTTCACCAAGAACGTCGGGTAAATTATGTACATATGAAAATTCGAAAATCACATTGGTACATGGTAGGATTCGAACCGAAGACCTGTAGATTACAAGTCAAGTGTTAAAACCACTGAGCCACTGACGCTCAACGACGAAAAAAAAGACAAGCAATCAGAAAATAACACTCAATAGTTTTATTCCACATGAGTTTAAAATCTCAGAAATGGTAAAATGACACAAAGTTTCTTGATAATTAAACAATTATACATATCAGAAGATAATAAATTATAATTTAATGACAATCACTATTGTGTAATTTATTGTTAGTTATTTTATATAGTTTGCGGTATAGCGGACATATAAATGGGAGTATTACGTGTACAAGCAATAACTACGTTTCTATTGGGCGCCATTTTGGACGCATATGAATGTTGATGTAATGTGTAAAACTTGGATTTTACTAGTGTTTTAAATTATAGAATTTAAGTCTATATTATTTTTATATTATTACACATTTCCATCTTACTTCTTACTAATATTACAAATGTTTAGATGGATGGATGTTTGTTAGAGTTTGTTTAAACGGCTGAACGGATCTTGATGAAATTTGGCATGGATGTAGAGTACAGTCTGGAAGAACACATAGACTACTTAGTTTTTTTTAATTCCACGCGGACGGAGTCGCGGGCGAAAGCTAGTTAAAAGAAATTTTAAGTACAGAGTGTGTATGCGATTTTTCTTCCAATAGTTTTATACGTGGAAAAGATCTTAGACTGATCCTATTTTTCCTTAGAAGTTAATATTATTCATTGTAATACCTGTTCTAAAATTTTTTTATCGATTTAACACTAGTATCCAAGTTTTGCTAGTTAAGAACGCTGTGTAAAGCTTTTCTTAAAGATAATTTATTTAAATTTTACTCTTAATACTTACAAATTTTACATATCGTTTCATAAATTCCATATTATATGCCTTTGATTATTCTATTTTAAGTCTTATTTGTATTGACTAAGAGTTGGATTTAGATTAAGTTAGCCTTATAGTCCTCCTTACTTGAGCTCGCTTCTTGCTGTACATAGAAGTAGCTTTCGTTTTGCATTGATATAAACAATTCTAAAATTAAAAAAAAGCAAATGCATTTTCAACATACAGCCAAAGATCGTGAACCATAGACAAGTTTTTGTTTTTAAAATTAAAAATATGTTTAAGCCAGTGTCTGTCAATTGAAAAGTACACTATAGTGTGTCTTAGGGTGAGTTGCACCACATCGCCGGTTACCGTTAAAGTTAAAATTATTTGTAACGGTAATATTTGGAATAA